TTACAGCGGAGCTTCTGAAAGCGGGTGGAACACCGGTACTTGAAGTCCTTCAGAAGCTCTTCAATTCCGTCCTCCATGGTGGCACTACTCCAGAGGCGTGGAGCAGAAGTGCGGTGGTCTTGTTCTTTAAGAAAGGCGACAACGCTCTCTTAAAGAACTACAGACCGATTTCCCTTCTGAGCCGCGTCTACGTGCTGTTTTCGAGAGTCATTACGAATCGTCTCGCACGCAGCCTTGACGACTTCCAGCCTCCCGAACAAGCCGGTTTCCTAAAAGGCTTCAGTACCATAGACCACATACATACCCTGCGGCAGATTGTACAGAAGACTGAAGAGTACAATCTGCCACTTTGCCTGGCGTATGTGGACTATGAGAAAGCCTTTGATTCCGTCGAAATTTGGGCGGTGCTACAGTCCCTTCAGCGGTGCCAAGTTGACTGTCGGTATATCGAAGTGCTGAAGTGTTTGTACAGTAGGGCTACGATGGCTATCCGAGTACAGAACCAGAGCTCGAAACCTATCCAACTGCAGAGAGGTGTAAGACAGGGTGACGTTATATCCCCGAAACTCTTCACCGCTGCATTGGAAGAAGTTTTCAAGCTACTGGACTGGAAAGGATACGGTATTGACATCAATGGCGAGTACATCACTCACCTTCGATTTGCCGACGATATAGTCCTTATGGCAGAATCGCTGGAGGACTTAAGCACTATGCTCAATGACCTCAATAGTGCCTCCCAACGGATAGGTCTTAAGATGAACATGGACAAAACAAAGATCATGTTCAATGTCCATGTCACACCTATGCCGGTAGTTGTTGGGAGCACTATGCTCGAAGTTGTTGACGAATACGTTTACCTGGGACAAATAGTCCGACTAGGTAAGTCCAACTTCGACCGAGAGGTCAATCGACGGATTCAACTCGGCTGGGCAGCGTTCGGGAAATTACGGCATATCTTTTCGTCAGGTATACCTCAATCTCTAAAAACTAGATTGTACAACCAGTGCGTGTTGCCAGTGATGACTTACGGATCTGAGACGTGGTCCTTCACTGCTGGCCGTATGAGGACGCTTAAGGTCGCTCAGCGAGCTATGGAGAGGGCTATGCTCGGAGTTTTTCTGCGTGATAGACTCAGAAATGAGGATATCCGCAGTAAAACCAGAGTGACCGACATAGCCCAACGGATTAGTAAGCTGAAGTGGCAATGGGCCGGCCATATAGCTCGAAGAACCGATAACCGATGGGGAAGAAAGGTTCTCGAGTGGCAGCCTCGTACCGGTAGGCGTAGTGTAGGGCGACCCCCCACTAGATGGAGTGACGACCTGGTAAGATATGCAGGAAGTCGATGGATGCAGGTGGCTCAGGACCGTGCTTTGTGGCATTACTTGGGGGAGGCCTATGTTCAGCAGTGGACTTGTGAAGGGCTGTAATGATGAATGATGATGATGATTTCTGTCAAATTGTCCTTAGACTTAGTATGTGTTTCACATGGAATAAAACCATGTTTGTTTAATTGACACTTAGTTTGTGTCACGGAACGTACACAAAGGACATTGCAATGATAGTTACATTCATAGAATAAGGGTACCAAACGAGCACATAGTCCACCTGATCGTTAGTAGATGCTGTGGCCCATAGATATCTACATTAATCCTGGATTAAAAATAAGATGCAGAGGCGTCGTCAAAGACTAAGTTGGAATACCTAGTTTCCAATAAAAAGGGTCAACGGTTCTCTACACTCAACAAAATAGCCTTATAAGCTGCTATTTTACACTGGTATTCTGTGTGAGCCAATTACTATACAGCCCGAATAGACGCCTAATGTATGTACTTCTGCATCCAAACCTGTCTGTCAAAAATCTGAGGTAAGCGGTACGAGGGAGGTGGGTTGAAATGCACGCTAATTGGTTAAAATCAAGGTTGTGACACTTACTAATAAGCAAATAGTCTTGGGAACTTAAACTAATAAATATGGTACCAAGTCTACTTAATCAGTACCAGAATTATATTCTACTATAAATTAGTACAAAATAAAAAAAACAAAAGGAGTTTTATTTACGTAGGTATCGTATTTACCTACAATTTTTTTGTTTTAAATAATATTTTTATTAAAACAAGCTTTCTTTACAATATTGAAATAATAATAATAGAATACTATAAAAAATAAAATAGCAACAGTTATTTAAACTGTCAAGTTCACTTCCGTTTCCTACTTGTCTTGACATGGCGTCTTCGCAGTAAAGAGAGCGGAGTGCCGTCTATTAAAAATTATATCAATTTTATTATGAATTATTTTTAAGAAGTTTTGAATAATTTGATTTAATTATTAAATCAGTTAATTCAAATATGGATTAACGTACATAAACTAAAAAAATTCAGCTTACACCTATATCGCTTATAGTATATGTCTGTAAAACATTCACGATAACAAGCATAATATTTTCTTGTAAAAATATTATAGTACAGCACTAGTTACACGTGCCGATAATTAGAGAAAAGGTTAGCAACGATGAACTACATTGAAAAGAAAGGGATGCATAGTCCGAAAATATCCGAAGATCTCCGAATAAATCAACGCGAGTTGCTTAGGACAAATATAGGTTGAACTCTGATTTAATTTTATAATGAATTTGGAAGTTAAAATTCACTTATCTATGAAAAGTGATGCTATTTTTTTTAAATTATACGTTTGGCTACTATTTCCGCACTATTTTATTGTAGAGGGAACCATGTTGCGCGTCTGTTGTATTTTATTTTGTCAAAAATTCACGAGTCACATGCAAGATGTTCACGGGTCAGGGGATTGGTTGCTACTAAAGAAGATCGAGCGGTCGTTTTTTTTAAGTAAGACGTATTTGTCTGATGTGTTGACAGAAAGTGTTCGCCTTTCATGAGGCGTCTATCAGGGCTGTGTAATCGTTGGTGTGAGCCAACCCATTCGTGCTACGACTGTTATAGCTGCAGAGTGACCTTACCACTTAAAGTAGCATGTATAGTGATATAACAGTAACTCGACTAAGGTCTGCCTTCTCTTTTGTCGCTAGATCACAACTACCAATAAATCGATTACGAACATATATTACCCGTTTTCTCTCTGCTCCCTCACGATATTATCCATCATTCATTAATTAAATATAGTCAATCAAAAGTCTAAAAGCTGAACGTAGGGGAATATTTGCCATAGTTACCTCTCTTAGCAAGTGGTTTGGCAACCGTAATTTTTTATTATTTCGAGTTATTATCACGAAGATATTGTTGTCTCTCTCACGTTTCATTTCTCTCTGTCGTCTTTCACGATACTCACGAGATGGTGGTCTTAGAGCTTCTGAGTAATAATATGTATATTATTTGGTAGGAGGTAGTGAATTCTTTTTCACTGCCGTTACATAGCATTATTAAGATCCTGCCTTAACTTCATGATTAGAAATATTTTCATCCAAGTGAAAAAGCTTTCTTGAATATTATCGATGGTTTATATTCTCCGCTAAGCAGGTGGTAAATCTCTCTCCCTAAAAAAGAGGTTCCCGAGTGGCAGCCTCGTACCGGTAGGCGTAGTGTAGGGCGACCCCCCACTAGATGGAGTGACGACCTGGTAAGACATGCGGGAAGTCGATCGATGCAGGTGGCTCAGGACCGTGTTTTGTGGCATTACTTGCGGGAGGCCTATGTTCAGCAGTGGACTTGTGAAAGGCTGTAACGATGACGATGAGGTGGTAAATCTATAAAAATAAAAACAAATACCGCATGTATCAAAGATTATTTCCTAAGAAAGGTTGGACAGATTTCGATGAATATTCACATTTACAATTGGACCCGGTAAATGACATTGTTGTCGAGAGGAGGAAACAGTCGCGCAAAGCCAGGGCGGATCGTTGGTCAGCATATAAAATTGGAAATTCAAATGGGATCAAACTAGTTCATGTACCGTGTGTCTGTCAAGACTTAGTGTTGATACTTCCCAAATTATTAATTTTTAAAGTTTGCGAAAGGAATATTTGCTATGTAATATAATAATCGTCATCACTTGTATTAATAAACAACTTATTTGATCGTTCGAATAATAATAAGTCTAGTCCTATTTTTTTTAATAATTTTAGGCATATAAAGTAATAAAAATAAGTAACTAAATAAAACGAGTACCTATATCGATGTCAATTGTAGCTAACATTGCAAACGAAATCTCTATAGATTATAGACGCAATGTCTTGTAAAGTAACGTTACACATAATGCTACTACAATAAGGATGTTTAGTTAAGTTTAGTAAAGCGGAACATGCGAGTGCACTTACTCTCATATTTGGCATAGTATAAAGAGACCAAAGATGATCACTTGACATTTCTATTTCCACGCTTGAATTATACGCAACATCTTTCAACATATTTGTCTATTTTTGCCTAATTCGAAAATTAAATAAAAAAAGCGAGACAAGTATATTGACTCAATTTACGTTGAATTTTATGTCCTTGCTATGCATTTGTATGTATGTAATTACTCTAAGTAGACTACTGAGTGGAACAAAACACAAATTTGAAGAAAAAAAAACGAATGTCAAAGATATTTGACAACTAAAGCGTGCGTAATCCCTTTTTGGGTTATTTTGGTGAACGTGCTTTTGTTGTGATTTATTTTTAGAGAATAAACTAATATTTTCCTGAACAAATTGTATTTTATAGAGAAAATTAGGTTATTTTGGTATTATATAAATAATATATTAAGGTATTTTGATAGTTGGTTGTTTTCTATGCTCGACTTATTGAAATACTTATCAAAAAATGGTCCAAACTGTGTGATGTAAATTTACATCAATATGCAATAACTTCACCCGTAAAGTACGCCGCGCAGAATCCAACAAATTGTCAATATTTCTTGTTTAAGATAGGAAAATATGGATGATAGTTGAGGAGTAATTTTCTAAATTGGAAGATGGGTATTTGTCTGAAGATGTACTTGATGTCGAAGAATCTGATGATGATTAGCACTACGACGCTCGTGAAATTATGAGATTGCTTCAAGAGCAAAATACAGCCGAAAATGATAAAGATATTGCTGTTGAAGATGATCTTCTTCTTATTGAAGACAATGGGGTAACTGCTAAAAGAGGTACTTCAAGCAATACCTCTGGATATTTATTAGATAAAAGAAGACTGGTGCAGCAAAAGAAGATAATGAAGATCATATGCCTTCCAGTGATAGAACACTTGAATACCAGGTTTGCTACACTCCCATATGACCAACGGTTATCTGTAGATAAACAGATATGTGCTAAGAATGTCGCACACTTTCTAAAGCAATATCTACCAAATAAACTTCACAAATGGGGTTTCAAACTCTATGTCCTTTGTAGTTTAGAGTGATATGCATATAAATTTGAAATTTATTCTGGAAAAGAAAGCAGAGATATTGGATAATGAACCTGACTGAGGTGCCACTGGGAATGTGGTAGTTTGGCTACTTAAAGGAGTCCCCAGAATGCTAAACCATATTGTCTACTTTGACAATTTCTACACCTCTGTCCCATTGGTATATTACTAACTAAAACTAGGTATTTACTCTGTAAGCACAGTACAGCAAAACCGTATTCAAAATTCCAAATTACCATAAAAGAAAGAACTTGTGTTTTGTTTTTGTTTGTGAATTTGACGAAACCATATCCTGGAGGAAGCTATGAGGAAAGGGTTTCTATAGTTGATAATGTTGAAATGACTTGTGTGGCCTGAAAAGACAATAAAATAGCTATCCTTCTATCTACATATGTTGGAGCATTGCCTGAGACTACTGTTCAAAAATTTGACAAGGTAACGAAAGAGAAAATTTCAATAACTTGCCCACTGATAGTATATTAATACAATAAGCACTTGGGAGGAGTAGTCTGATGGACAAATTTCTTGGGAGAAATCACATCACTCTAATGTCTAAAAATTGGTATCTACACATTTTTTTTTCATTTATTCGATTTAGCAACAATAAATTCATGGATTGTTTATAAAAGAAATGCAGTAAAAAGAAATGAACCTGAGAAAACGATTAGCTAATGCCAATTTCGGAACAAAGTAGCGATGGTTCTATTCAATAAGGACATTGCTTTACAAGATAAAAGAGGACGTCCTAGTCTGGATATGTTGGAGTAAAATTGGAGGCAAAGAGAAGAAAGGTGATGTAGCTCTTCCACCTCCAAGAGATGTCAGAAAAGATAACTTGAAACATTGACCTACAGTGAGTAGTTCACTTAGATGCAAATACCCGGAATGTGACAATAAAAACTGCCGATTGAATTACCGAAATTAACACTTTAATTCACTTTACACTAATTAAAACTTAAAACACTAATAATTAACCACACTGATTCACTTTATTTCGCTCCGAAGCTTCGCTTGTCTCGCCAAATTCAATACTTCCCGATCGCACCTTTCAGCGCCTATAAATACACATTAGCACCGAAACATCCAGAACATTCAAGTAAATACGCGCCATGCGTCGAAAGTTCGAGTGTCGGCTTCTAGAAGCTTAGTTCTTCGTTTCGACACTAGATGGCACTGTCGGTTGAAAGATTAGTGATGTCATTCTGGAAAGTTCCCCCCTGACACAACATGACGTCAACTTAGGCGCGCAACATTGCCCCCTTCTAAGACATGCTCGTACCGAGCATTATCGGCCCCATAATAACGCGCCAAGCGATCCACATGGACGATCTTAGGAGTCCCTCTTGCGCCTTTCTGTATCGGCTCCGCAATGTCAAGGGCTGTCCTATCCCATGGTGCACCAACATTGTACAATTCCCATGCTCCTCTACTACGTGTCTGAGGTCCCCTCACAGCCGCACAACTTGTACATGTACGACACCAATCCTCGACATCGTCACGATAATGGACCCAGTAAAACTGTTCTCGAACCTTCAGTAGAGTTCGTTTAACTCCCGGATGGACTCTTGAACGACCATTATGGCACAGCTGTAGAACATTCGGCATTTTAGCATTAGGGACAACCATTTGCAAACGACAGCTGTCTCCTCGACCATTGTCCCATTTACGACACAGTACTCCATCCTGAATCAGCAAGCTGTCCCATTGGGCCCAATAGCTTCTAGTGGTCGAACTCATCGTTGAGACGTCGCACCACTTAGGCTTGGTAGCACGGGCCTTCATCCATTCCAGAATCGGCTTGATGTCCGGATCTTCCTGCTGTGCATGTCGTAGGCTGTCCTTCCACTCGTTGCTGAGGTGGTCTGTCCTGAGCATCCTCACGGATACCACTTCCTTACTCTCTTGCCTAGTATAATGTTTCCAATCTTCAGGACAAGGTCTTCTTGACAATGCATCTGCGTTGCCATGAGATTTCCCGCTGCAATGTCTGATAGTAAAGTCGTATCCCGGCTGCTGCTGGGCGGTGATGTTAGCCGCACTTCCCTTCTGAGATCGTTCACCTTCCCTTTCTAGGGTTCGCTTAGGGCAGCTGGATCAAAGATGGCCCCTTTCCCCACAGCCATAGCACCTAGGGTTGAATCCTTTATTGTGGTCGCGAACCGTAACTGCTGCAACCTCCCTAGCGTGAGGGGAACGATGATCCTGCCACCGCCAGACGGTGCCGTTAGCTGCACTACTTTCTCGAGATCGATCAACTTCCCTTTCTACGGTTCGCTTAGGGTAGCTGGATCGAAGATGGCCCCTTTCCCCACAGCCATAGCACCTAGGGCTGTATCCATTATTGCGGTACGAACTGCTGTAGCTGCTGCTGCCTCCCTGACGCGATGGGAACGATGATCCTGCCGCACGGCTTCCACCTCCAGTGCATGGGCCAAGGCGTCCTTAAGCATCTCGTGGTGCCCGAGCCTCACAGCAGCTCTGACTTCCAAGTCGCGGATGCCGTCGATGAATGTCTGCACCAGGTTCCCTTCAATGAGCGCAGGTACAGACCGGTATGCTTTTCGAACCATCTTCTCCACCTCAAGGGCCCACTGCTGCAGGTTTTCGTTGCTGCGTTCGAAATGTGCGATCTTTAAAGACGTGTTCCAGGTGAGCGTCGCCATATCTCGCCTCCAACGCCTCAAGGAGCTGCTCATAGGTCACTTTCTTACCGAGAGTTTCCAACACAGTTAAAGCTTGGTCGTGCAGGCCTAGGGTGAGTGCAGTCATGGCTTGGCTTTTATTCCAGCCGTTCGCCTCCATGACGGCCTCGAACTGGATTTTGTAGGCCGACCAGGAAGAAGTCCCGTCGAACGGCGGCACTTTGAATCCACGTAGCGAAGGTGTTGTAGCTACTACGGGAGCTGTTGTTCCATCCCCAAGTTTGAGGTCGTCCAGCGTTTTCTTCACGTCAGCCATCACGTTGTCAACCCGATTGTTCACTTGGTCGATTTGGGTTTCAGCTTTGTCGATTCGGGTTTCAGCTTTCGCGATTTGGGTTTCAGCTTCCGACAGGCGGTTGTCATGCTGAGCAACCCTATCCTTCACCTCCTTTATCTCCGTCCCGAAGGTAGCGTGTAGGTCCTTCATGAGAAGCATCTGCTCTTCTGCACTCCATATCTATACACACATGAAAGTACCTCAACGACGAACGAATTACGATGAAATGAACGAGTTCAATCTTGTAATCACACGACGTGCCGCGCGCGCCCGCGCACCGACGCGCAAGCCCGCGCCGCGCCTTTGAAGTTACCGACTTTAAACGGATAGCGCACGCCGCGCCACGCCTGCCCGCGCCAAGCCCTTCACAATGCGCGCGTCGCGTGCAGGCGCGGGCGGCGTGTGATAACACACGCAGTGAGAAGCCGCCATCCTTCTCTCGTCTAGCCGACCCATTCGTGCTACAACTATACTTCTAATATAGCCGGCAGCATGGCTCTACTACGTAAAGTGTAGTATAGTGTGCTGTAGAAAGAGGTAATGATTATATACTATTTGAGCTGTAGTAGTAATGTTACTTCTTAATTATCAAATTCTTAATTACTTATCAAAGTTCAAAACAATTTATGTACATAAACAATTTAAGCGTTATATATTTATTCAAAGGCTAGCTGTCATTAATATTATAATTATATAATTAGATATAATTTAAAGACTAGTTAAAAGCTATAACCCGTGACTATAACTGCGTAGACTTAAACAAACAAAAAACTACAGATTTTTTAGAACAGTAGTATTTGCGCAAGTAGTTTAAATATATAAAACTCATTATAAATTCAGTTTGTTTTTATCATCTCAAAAACTATATAATTAAATATAAATTGAAAAAAATTTATAGTTTAACACATAAAGTGTTGATATAAAATGGCATTAAGTTTAATAAAGGGAAAAATCGATTTTGCTAGTTTATTTTGACAGTTAATTTTATGACTACTGATCCTGAGATAAAACATAAAAATTAAAGTACTGTTTTGTGTAAAGTTACAAATCAAAAAAATCTTGTTCGAAACTTTATTTATATCGCTTATAGTTTCTGAGATAATCGTTAAACCAATTTATTTCATAAGAAGTTGTGTAGGTTTTCCAGATAAAATGAAGATCAATCCTGGCATTGCTCTCCATCTGTTCATAAAGTTTCATCACGCTCGTGTCAGCCATCTCGAAGATTAGCCTGACGGACTGACATGACGTCTTCTCTTCTTCGTCTATTTCTGACAAATATTGTCAGGATTGTAGTTGAACAAATTATAAGTGAATAAATTTTCTTAATTAGCATGCATAACCCTCTGGGCTTAATAGAAGTCAATTATTTTGGTATTATGACAGACACTTAAATTGTATTAATATGATATAAGTATAATTACATAATTAGGAAAACATCACTTTTTATATTTCGTAAAGATGATTTCATTTTAGAAAACGTACAATAAAGATGTTGTGAATAGGGTGTATCCTATGCAAAAAAAGGGGCCAGTATAATTACAGGTATTTCACCTTATCCTCGGAGGTGATAACGCATCACTTTTTTTAAGTTAGCTGCAAATTGCAATTAACTGCAGTATCTAATTATCATCAGGTCGACTGTAATTTTGTTCGTAACTGATTTTGATAATTTAAATGATTTTTATAAAAAAGAAATTCTTACAACATCATGAATTCCAGTACATTTCCAAATAGTCATACTTTTCAAAACTGTCATCC